CTGCAGATACATGTAAAATGCATTGGTTTTTTACCTTCATATTTTGATAGATGAAAAGATTTTTTCATGCTTCCTGACCAAACTTATTATTATTTGCTTGTCAAATTTACCTTAATATTTTTTACCATTTAGTTTTAAGACAGTATGAGATGGCAACAGATAAACGTCTGAGTTGTCTCCATTTAATAGTCATTGAGAAGGAGACTGTAAGGCAACAAGATTTATATTATAATATGATAAGTTTCCCTGCAGGTTTGAAATAAGTTGATTTTTTTTTTGTTTTGTTTGGTTTGGTTTGGTTTGGTTTTGGGCTTGTTTTTTTGTTTTTGGTTGTTTTGGTTTTTTTTTTTTTGTGTTTGTTTTTGGTTTGGTTTGGTTTTTGGGTTTTGTTTGTCTGTTTTTTAAATTTTATTAAACTATTGTCTTTAAAAAGCTTTTAGAAAAATGTGACATCAGGAAAAAATAGACCTTGCAAATAGAAAAGTCTGTGGTAATACAGCCTAGCAGGGCGAAATGTAAACTTCCTTACTGAACTGAATACAATTTATAAATTTTGTGTGGCTGGATCTAAACTTTTTGCTGGAGTTGTTTTAAAATGTGTCTTCATAAACACTTCCCATGGAGATATTCTTTATAAAAATAAATGTTAATAACTTGCTGACAGAGAATTTATAGAACCTCAGTCTCAACCACCTTTCGGCCCCAGGAATTACAGTACAATAAACCCAAATTTATACAAAGGGTGAAATATACAGTAGGGCAGAACAAAGAGAATGCAGAAGGGTTCTAACTGTTTTCCTAAAATTATAATAGTGGCATATTCCTGTTACTTTCACTGAAGCAGATGCACGAACCCTGAATACTAGTGTTTAATTTGTGATCTCTGAGTGATCTAAATAGATCTATATCTTATGAAAAATGCCTTACTGTGGCCAGAATCTGTATATACAGTATAACTTAAGCGTAGGTAGAAGTGGTGTTTCCTAAATTGCCTGTCAAGCATGACTTAATCCCACTTTGCAAATACTGCCTACACCAGTGAGAGATGTTAATTTCCATACCCATTCATTTAGAAGGCTCTGCTGAGGCTGTCAAAGAGATGCTAATTATTATCAGCCATGGTGATCCCTCAGGAATTAGGCTGGGATTGAGAAAATGCCTAATTGCTGAAATTACACTACAGTCAGGGATTAAAGTGATGGGTTCTGCTCTCCTTCTGTTTTTTTCTTTCTCTGGTAGCTTGGGGAACAGCTGTCATAGGCAGTTCTGGGGCTCTTCAGGTGATGTTTTTGTGACCACTTTGTCACCTCTTGGCCTAGTTTATCTGCCACTGGTGCTGATTTTAAGATAAATCATCAACTTCATTAAAGGCAGACAGCAGAACTTGGAAGTCCAGTTGATTAACTCTGTGCAGCAACAGAAAGTGCCTGGAGTCAGGCAGAATTCAAACAAGAGATTCTGCTCTAAGAGAAATTTAGGGGACCTACGATAGCATTAATATCTGAAAATCTGGACAAATTTTCGTAAATCCTTACTACTGTGACAAAAAAGCTAAATTTTCATTCAGGAGAGAAATTAAAATTGACAGTTCTGTGCTGCTGTTGATAAAATCTCCCAGACAGGAGATAATTTTAAATAAAGGCTTTCCTTGAGGATGAATGCCTGTGTCCTTGATAAATCTTTCCTTTTCCATTCCAGTAATAACCAAAGTTTGGGTTTTTTGTTTTCATAGGTGAACATTCCTTAATGTGAGCAAAGCTAAATATATTTCATTTAGTGATATGTGCTGAAAATATGAATGTTCCTTGAATCCACTGGATCCTTTGTTATATCTTAAATATATGATAGCGAGGTGAAGACAAGGGAAGGTATGTCTGTTTCCTGTGGGTAAAATCTCATGAATTGCAACATTTTTTCTTGCCAGTGGTACATCTTTCACAATTTGGACATCGAGGGTGTGTATTCTGTCTTTGTGAAGCTGGGTTGTTGATGACAATCAAATTGCTCAAATTTTGAAGCCTTCTACTCATTTTTTTGCTTGTTTTGCTCTCTGTATACATTTTTTATGGCAAAACTTTTAGTGCTGGTTTAAGTCCTTATTGTACTGAGAGGAGATGGATCCTGTTTGTGAGGCCAGCACTGTCATTATTACCTAGACAAGTCAAAGCTGTAGAATTTTCATTACAAGTGGTGATACACAGAGAATGAAGGTGCATAGGGTCTTCTTTTTTTTCCAAACTGAAAAGTGAATATGATAGATTGGCAGGTATTTCTTTTTAAACAATTGACTCCTGTATATCAAAGTAAAATAATGCAGAAATCTCTTTTAAAATCTAGGTGGACTGCCCATCTTTAACTAGGCTACAGAAGTTAATTTTGAATGCCTGTAGTTTCAGAGATGGTGATGGTATATTACCAAATGCCTTGAGAATGAGTCCTGGCATTTTCTATATTAAAGACCTGTTGTGTTTCCAGGTCTCCAACAATTGTAGGACTGTATTGATTTAATTTCATCCGGAGTCTTCCAAACAAACAATAGTTATTTTTAGTTTTCAGTTATTTTCTAGAATATTCTATCTTATTTGAAGACTCCCACTGCCCACCAAATAATATCACTTTTTTCAAAACAACAACAAAAAAATACAGCAGGAATTTTTATTTAAAGTCTTTAATCTTAGCACAAATAATCTTTTAGTACTTGAGCTACAGTTCCCTTTCTTGCACTCTTCTCAATTTTGCTTCTTGCAGTTTCTCACCTGCAGAAGGTATGTTATCTATTGGGAGCATTTTCTTTTCTTGTTCAGTGCTTGTTCTAGGTGGTTCAACTGTGGACTTTCATCAAACAGTACTCTTGTCTGTATTTAAACTACTACTATTCTTCTCAAAGGTGTAATAAACATTCATATTGCATTACATAATATAAAAGTAAGAAATTTAATTTCCTGAGGAGTAAAGGAACTTTACTTCCTTAAAATGGTGCTGAAATTTAGACAGAAGATATTTTCAGAATGAAAAACTAGGTTTGCATCTCAGACTGTTTCTCATTTTTCCCAATGATTTTGTGTTGAGCAATGAATAATATTTTGCTGAAGGTTTCTTTGACCTTTACACAAGTACTGTAAATTAAGTCATTAATGGGAATTATTTTAGGGCAGCAGCTGGATGTGTGTTTAAAGTCTTATGCTGATGCTTCAAGTATATGCCCTCTTTTCATTAGCAGTTTTAACAAGGAGTTTGGCTTAAAAGAAATGAAACACAAAATGAAAAGCCCCAAGCCTGTGGTGGTCAGTCGTCGCCTATGAGCCAGTCTGCTGCTGTTCGTAAGATTGCATTCTGGGCTGTCTGAATGAGAAACTTTTTTTTTTTTCTGTGATATTAAAAGAAAAATTCTTATTTAGAAAGAATAGAAAAAATTCTCTTTTAAATTGTTTTTGTTCTGTATCTAAACAACAGAACAATGCTGAGCATGAGGGCCATGATCACCATTGCATATTACACAAGTCACAACAGAGACATTTTTTATCTAACACCAGCATAATGTAGGTTTTGTGTATGAGGTTAACCTCTGGATCTACTTCTTGGCCAAAGTAGAGAGTGTGGGAGGAGAACAGCAAAAAGGATAAGAGCTAGTAATAGTAAAGTTGTTCAAGTTTGTTGGGTTCTTGACAGTAAACTGTTTTATATGTATTAATTATGAAGAGGCCAACTTTAGGCAGTGGTGTTGGACTAAATAAAATAGTGTTTGTGCAGATGTTAGACATACTACCCCCAACATGCTGCAGGTAGACAGTAACTATCATGAAGATATTTTCAACATTTAGCACTGGAAAAGTAAGCATATCTAGTTAAAGTTTAGTGTGGAGAACTAGGCAGTAGTTTAACCCTTTTCAGCATTTATTGTGGGAATGTGTCTTGTCTGTACTGGACTTTGAAACTTGTTAATTAAGCTTGTGCTTTGGAAATATGCCTGTTGTCACCCTACAAATATCTGTAGGCCTGTGATGTGGTATAGTGCATGCTGGTAAATATTTAGTATTATTAAATGTTCAGGATGTCCTTCTTTGTAAGCACTGGAGCCTCTATTTAATTTAACAGTGTTCTTGGTCAGAAGCACGTTTTTTTTTGAGAAACCGTGAAAATGCCACTTGTGGATTGTATATTATCCTCCTGTTTCACTTTCAGTAGATGTGAAAGGAATGAAGAAACACTCACTTTCTGTGAGAACCTTTTGTGTTGAATCTCAAAATTATGGAATCTTTCATCCATGTCAAGATTAAACCTCTCTAAATTGCACAGAAAGTAATAATCAGGGAAGTTACTGTAACAGCATCAGCCTCAGTAACCACATTATTATTTAATGTATTTCAGTTGAAATTTGTGCTGTTATGGGTATCATTGTCTTGAAAATGATAGGTAGTTAAGGGTTTTATTTTTAAAGCAAGCATACCAAATGAAAATATGCTACAAGATGTTGATAACTGGAATAAAAATATCTACGTAACTTCTTAGTGCATTACTAGCGGCTTTTTAGGGGGGTTTTCGCTTAAGGAAGGATCTGGTTTTCTTGAGATTTGAGCTTTAAGGAGGTAATCGTCAAAGCAGAGAGGGCATTGTGTTTTAAGTGTAGATAATGCGTATTTTATGAATGTACATGGTACGTTTAATATGAACCAGGTAAGAAATCATAGTTTAGGTAAATGAACAAGGACAGAGCCTACTTTACTCAGCCTCAGCGAAGGAGTCAGTGAAAATCTAGACAGATTACCCAGTTCTTGCAGTCCACTGACTACAAAGAGTTATCAAGGGAAGCCTTTCTTCCAGCTTAAATTTAATCTCTTTGAATTTCCCTTTATGCCATCTGTTTGACACAAACTGCTCCCAGATCTGAGCCCATCTTAGCAGTATAGAGGTTTTAATTAAAGAAACCAAATTTTAAGGATTGTCTTGTGATGTTTTGTATTTGAGTTCTTTTTAGCTTTGGTCCTTTTTCCCTTTGGCAGCACCGGAACGAAGGGATTCCTCCCTCCTGGGGAGCCCAGGCGTTGCTGACACAGCTCCAAGAAGGAAGAGAAGACAAAGGGCAGCAAAACCTGCTGGGACAGGGCCTAAGGTGGCAGCTTATGAGGCAGAACAACCACCTGAAGAAAAGTAAGCAGTTTTTAAATGTATTTAAATGTTTTTATACCTAAAGAAGTCATAGGATTTGTTGTGTCCCAAACCCAACTGATCGTGGTTGGGATTGGTGACCTCCAGAGGTCTCTTCCAACCTCATCACCCTGTGGTTCTGCCTGTGAAATTTCAGTGGAAATCAACTCACAATGCCATGTTTAATGGACCAGAATGGATTTCTTTTGAAAATAAAATCATGGGGGAGAAAAAATCATTTGGAAACATGAGTGTCAGAATTTGTAGCGCTTGTAGGTATTTTTCTTCTTATGTCAATTTCGACTTCCGGAAATATTTTCACGTGGTCTGGGAGGTGCTTAGTTATGCAGAGTATTACCTCAGAGCTGCAATATGGTTAGTGGTATTTCTTTAAAATATATGGCAAATTATATTTGAAAATACTTATAGTCCATTTTTGTCTGTAATATTCCATGGATAATAAACTCTTTAAACCGATAGGAACACAAGTATATTACAAAGACATTTCCCATGATTAGCAAAGACTTCTGTTTAAATAAACGAGAATTATCTTTTATTATTATATTTTGATGTAGAAAATTGTGGCTTGATGCCAGCTAGGAATGTTTAAATTTACAATCCTGTTTTATTAGTTTAAAAATTATATTTTTTTAATGGCGTAGAAAAATATCAGATTCTATTTTTTCTGTTCTTTTACAGTACATTGCAATGAAAAATACCCATTCCCCATTGTATGTTGTCCATTTAATTTTGAAAGTCTGCCTGTGTTTGGCTGAAATTCAGTTTCACTTTTTTTTAGTATTGATTGTTGAAGCAAAACCTATGGAGGCAAATTATTGCAGAGGAGTATAGAAAGGCCTTGGACTCAGTATTCCTCTTGTAGGGGAATGACTAAGAAAATACTGATATTTTTGTTTTAATTCCCTTAAGTAGGGCAAATTTTAGAAAAAAACAGAGCAGTTAAGTTTTTCTTCTATACAGTTAAGTCCTAATATGATTACAGATCAAGTCACAGCTGAACCTGAAGAGTGTCTCTTCTTCTGGGCTATAATATAATTAGTTATATTTTAAAGCTTGGGATATGGAACATCCATTCTGTCAGTCTCTATTCCCCTTTTTTCCCTTTACACTATGTGGCAGTGGTTGTTCTTTGGTTAGCTAAGGAGATACAAAATCTCTGCATTTACCTGAAAAATTACAACAGCTGAACCGTAAGAATTTTCACTTTTCTGATTATTTTTCCCAGCGTCCTTGAGGGTTTTTGAGCTTCATCTTCAGTCTTTTGCCAGCTGCTAATCAAGTTTTCAGTCAATTTACTTGGCTAATAATTTTCACTTCTCTCCAGCCTGTCAAAAGTTGGGAGATGTGGAATTAGCACCAGTTCACAAATATAGGTGTTCCTTTTTTATGAAGCCTCTCCAGTAATTTGTGCTGATGGAATGCCAGATCCTACATGGTACAAAAAGGCTTTATCTTAAGCTGACAGGATGTTGGGGTCCTGCCCAGAAATGTTTTCCAGTATTGGGTCACTGAGCAAAAAAATAAAATTACTAATTCCAAGCAAACCACCCCAGCCTGCTGAGGCGGCAGGGAGGCAGCGGGGGAAGTTAACCTCAGAATTCCTTCACCTCTGGAAGGGCTCCATCACAAACATGGGAGATGTGCAGACCTTGGAAGCGTGTCGTGGTTTTTCTGCTTGGCAGGAGGATCAAATGACAGATTGTGATCACGTTTGCAAATGCACGAACGACCCCTTGTTTCTGAACACTGCTGCATAGACCTGCAGAAGGAGTTGGTTCTTTAATGTAAATGCTTTATAAATAAGGTGCAGTTGCACAAAACCATATCCAACAGTCCTTGCTTTAACAAATAAAGCTTATTTAGAATTATTTTCCATTTGAAATTTTGGTGACATCACTGGTGATAATTTCATGTTCACCAGGGCTGTCACAAGCCAAACATCAGGAGCCTAATACTATCTTTATGTTTTTGCATCATAAATTGACTGATAAAAGATCTTAAATCAGACGAAAAAAATACCTCTTCTTCAAAGGAATCAGCCAAGTTTTTCTTTTCTCCTTGCCTTTCAGATTGTTTTGTAAAACCACAGTTTTTCAAGTCATTGTTACATAGAAATTATGTCCTTAACTTCTACGTATTTCTTATAAGATTTTAAAGTATGCAAAGAAGGTAGCATTTATCTTGAAATAAAAGGCACCTAAAGTAAATACTGAGTCATGAAAACTGAAAGGGTTCTATTTCTGCAAATATTTTAGATTTATGGATGTTGTTGCTAGTTATGTGGCAATTCTCTAGTCCTTTGGAATGAAAATATATTCTTAGATATGACCAAGAACACTCAGAAGAATGCAAATAAAGATCTGTTTGACATAGAAATTAGAGCAAAAGGAGTGCTACCTTTCTCATGCTTTGTGTGTGGGTGCGGTGGCAGAAAAGGCAGTTGAATTGTGTTTATCCACATAGACATCTAGTATTACATTGGCAATTTATCCAAGGGCTAAATCAACATTTTTAATGAAACTTGGCAATGTGCTTTGGATAATATGAAGCTTAGTGAAAGTAGCCATCAGATCAGCAAAGAGGTGAACTAGGATTTGTGGAACAAGGTTGCTAAATGAACTGTTTAATTATTTGCTGAAATAAAGACGTACTTTAGGATAAAGCAGAAATTTAGGATAATTACTTGGTCAGTGAACTGTCAAGATTTTGAGGTTTATCCGGCTCTCTAGCAGGTTGTTTTTCAAATCTGATATTCAATGAAAGGAAATGCTTCCTTAGGCAGACAGATATTACTTTTAGTTAATAACAGTTGAACTGTGGCTTTTAATTTACACATTTTAAATGTGACAAAGGATGGATCTTGCAGTTCAAAACATGATTGAGCCAGGAAGTTAAATAAAATTATTCTGATTCTAGTAAACTGTGATGGCATTGATGCAGCTTTAACTGTAACTTAATATATGGCAATTTCCTAAGGTGCAAAGCAGAGATAATATATAAGTCAAGTTAAGATGCAAATTCTACTTTTCACAATTTGCATTTCATAATTGGAGTGGAGAAATTAATGAGAGTGTTCCCAATCCACAGTTAGAAATTGTGCTTATTACCCAAATCTCTCTGCGGGTTGCATATGAATGACACCATTAGCCATGTGGAATATGCATTCAACAGAGAGGCTTAAGTGTAGGGCCTCTCAGCCTGAATCCTGTAAATAATTGGATGTTTCTATAATATCTTCACTTTAAAAGTATTTGAACCTATTTGAGAGTAGACAGTACCTACTGAGGATGGCAAATTTTATGATATAATGTTAAAAATTAAGCACGGTCTGTAGTCACAGAGTACAGTGGAACAGAGCTGGAGCCTCTGTAACTAAAAAAAAAGTAAATCAGGAAAAAGCCTCCCTTTCTAGTGCAACTTACAGCTTTTACTTTGCTTCCACGAAGGAAAAATTCCATCTTTCTGCTTTGGTTTAACAAAATTGGTTTTATTTAATGAGTTAAGAAAAGCAAAAGCCTTCCTTTTTTTTCTGTCCTTCATTTTTTACTAATAAAGGATCTAGTTTTATGGTCCTTATTCACACATGGATTTCCTAGGAGGAAGGCTTTCCTGGATAATTTCTATAAGTTACTCTATGTATTTCAAAGTATAATCCATTCCAGCTGCTCAGTAGTGTTCCTAATTTCTCTACTATTTAATAATATACATATACACACATATACATACAATTGGCAGAAGTGGTTTGGGGGAAGGCATCTCAAATACAGGAAAAACATTTTTATGGATGCAAATGTGCTGGATTCTCCTGAGATGAAGACTAGAGAAAACCAAAAGATGTTATTATACAGGAATTGTTTCATAATTTTGAGAAGCAAGTGTTAGGAAGTACTTTTAGTTCAATTGACTGAAGAATAACAGGTATTACTTGCTTTTATACATAAACGCTGCTTTTTCAGAGAGCTCAAAGGGTTCAGCATATTTTTGGGGTTATCAGCAGCATCCAAGTAAATAAAAAAACCCCATACCCAGACTGGTGACTGCGTATTTGGAAGTCCCAGTAGTTGCCAGGGGGTGTTTTGTCCCACCTGCATTGCCACCAATTGTTCCATCAGAGGAGGCCAAACAGAGAATGTAATTTTTACTTTAAACACGATTGTTACAGTCCTCACAACTCAGTGTTTGTTCTTGACTTCAGGGTCTGATTAAAGTTAGTCATGTGTGTAATTGTGGGTAGAAGGGGCTGCTGCATAGTTTTTGCTTGTTAATGATAAATGTGATTATTTTTTTCAGTTTTCATACTCTCTTTCTGTACCTTCAAAAGGTTTTTAGAGTCTTCATCCCAGTACTGTAATAAGCTGGACTTGTCTTTCTTTTGATAACCTTCCACTCCCTTAAAAGTGCTCAGAGCCTGTGGTGGGCCAGGAGCTCCCTGGGGATCCTCTCTCTGCATTTGTTTAATTTACTGCTTGCGGTTCACATTTTTAAAATCCTAATGCAACATTTATTTAAAGTGTGGTTTGCCACCACCAATGACTCAGGTAGGAGAAACCATAAATTTGTATCAGAACTGGGCATTCTCAGAGGGTTACACACAGACATGGGTTTTTTTTCTGTCTCACACAACAACTAATTCTTCTTATAAAAAAGTTTAAGCAGGGAAAAATTGGATCCCGCTGAAAATGATACCATAACCTTCCATGCTGCAGAGGGGATATATAGATTGCCCCACAGTTACCTCCCTTTTAAAGAAGGACATATTTAAGAGTTCATGTTGACATGTCACTTTTTTATTCAGTAACTGTATTTATTTAATACAGTAGGAGACAACTTGGTGTGACAAACACTGTAGTCACTGGTGTATCAGTGAGTCAGTGTACTGTCTGTGTACAGAGGTGATAAACTCATTCCTGCCATAATAAATTTATGGAATGCAGTGTTTAGAAAGTTTTTGATGGTTAACTCATTCCGACTGAAATGTAGGC